ATTTTAATTTTCAAATCCATTAAAATACAAGAACCAACAAAATTTCTGGGAAAATTCAATGATCAGCAAGTCGACGGCGTTTCGATCCTCTAAAGCTGATCTGGGTCGAAAATATATCCCAGTTCGGAAAATATTGAAAAATTTAGGCAATACGATTTTACTTTCCGGTCGAACCGGTTCAATGTACCCGGTTCACATATCACTCGGTTAGTTTCAGCAATCAAGGCTGCTTCTGTTGATCAATAATACGACGCCGTTTCGAATCCTCTAAAGCTCTGATTTAACGACGACGACGTTTTTCACTCTTCTCTATAAACCTCGCAAAGCTTCTTCTTTCTCGCGTTTTCCCGCCTTCTCTCTCTGGTTAGAGAATGTCGATCAAGCTTCTCGCTCTTGTTTTCTCTGCTCTGATAATCTTCACGAGACCCAAATTGATCGTCGATACTCACTTATCTACGAGAATCTCTCCGTTTCCTTCCCAATCTTATCCGATTCCGCCGTTTATACCTCCGTCGTCGCCACCACTCACATCCCGATCTCCGGCGGTTGATTCGCTTTTCCCTCGCGTACCGGCTTTGTTCGTGTTCGGAGATTCCTCTGTAGATTGTGGAACCAATAACTTTCTTGGGACTTTAGCGAGAGCAGATCGGCTTCCGTACGGTAGGGATTTCGATACGCATCAACCAACGGGGAGGTTTTGCAATGGGAGAATCCCCGTCGATTTTCTAGGTAAAAATCTCTTATTCCTCCAAAATTTTCTGGGCTTTGATTCGAATTCCATTGTCAATATCAAGAATCTACTTGATTCTTCGAAAATGAAATTCCCCCAAATTGTTGTGCCTAGATAGAAAGAAACTGAAGAGAAACTGAGAATTTGGGGCTTTCCTCATGGAGTTCTTGTATTCATCGATGTTTTATTATTACTGCTGTTAAAGAAAGAAATAGAGACTGAATCATTGGGTTTGTTGTTTACTGGAAAAACTTGTGAACAGCTAATCGTCTAGGTCTGCCATTCGTTCCTAGCTATCTTGGACAAAGTGGGACTATTGAAGCCATGTTTCAAGGCGTGAACTACGCATCAGCTGGTGCTGGAATCATCTTGTCTAGTGGATCAGAACTAGTAATACTCATATTCTTAATTTCTCTTGGTCTATATCAGTTTGTTTTCCTAATACCATCTTTCAGTTTTTCAAGGGATTTTTTGGTTGCAGGGCCAAAGGGTTTCGTTCGCGATGCAGATTGAGCAGTTTGTTGATACATTCCAGCAGATGATACTGCGTATTGGGGAGGAAGCATCGGATCGTCTGGTCTCGAATTCGGTTTTCTACATATCGATTGGAGTGAATGATTACATACATTTCTACATCAGAAACATCTCCAATGTGCAGAATCTCTATACTCCATGGAATTTTAATCAGTTCTTGGCTTCCAACATGAGACAGGAGCTCAAGGTTAGACTTCATTTTCATGTTTTATATGTTTACTCTTGTTGGAGAATCTATAGGGGAAAATTTATAAGCCTAACACCTGTTCAATACTCAAAACCCATAAAACTGAAAGCCCTTAAACTGATCAATTCATGATCCTTTTCAATTTTGGAACTTTGGTTCATACAGGTTTAAGAACCCTGAATCTGAAAGATCATTTGAGTTATGTATACTTTCCTCTTTATTGGCTTATATATCATCCTTTGATCTCACTAATAACACAAGTATTCTGTTTGTTTCATAGACCTTGTACAATGTCAAGGTTAGGAGGATGGTGGTGATGGGGTTGCCACCGATTGGCTGTGCACCGTACTACCTGTGGAAATACAGAAGCCAGAACGGAGAATGTGCAGAGGAAATAAACAGCATGATCATGGAATCAAACTTTGTCATGAGATACACTGTAGATCAGCTCAACCGTGAGCTTCATGGCGCATCCATTATCTACTGCGACGTGTTCCAAAGCGCAATGGACATCCTCAAGAACCACCAACACTACGGTAAACCAAAAACAACCGAAAAAACCACTTGCATTTTAATTGAGGATTCTCTTGGGAACACTCTATGTCAGCCAGAGACTTCTAAGGATGTTTCTCTGATCATCTTGGAACCTTTATGTTTGTGTCAAGAGACTTGTTGAATGTAAATTTGTGTGTGTGTTTTGTGGTCAGGTTTTAATGTGACTACAGAGGCGTGTTGTGGGCTAGGGAGGTACAAAGGATGGCTTCCGTGCGTCTCACCGGAGATGGCTTGCTCAGACGCCACTGGACATCTCTGGTGGGATCAGTTTCATCCTACCGACGCCGTTAACGCCATCCTCGCCGACAATGTATGGAATGGTCGCCACGTCGACATGTGTTACCCTACTAACCTAGAAACAATGCTTCATTCTTAAATAGCAGCTGATATAAACACATGTTGTTACATAAACAAATCTTTCTTCTGTATATGAGATTCTGATTTTCCCCATAGTATATACATCATATATTTTCATTTCTGAAAAAAAGTGTGGGAGAGAAACGCGGAAAATAAGAAATTGTTGTTCAATCCGGCGGACTACGATTTGATTTTGGTTTTTTGGATTTCTAGATTTTGAATAATTTAGATCACGAGTTTAAAAGATACAAAATAAAATAATTAGAAACACATAACGTTTTGCCATCCTAGTATTTTGTCAATTTTGCTAAAAAGTTTGGGCTATTTAGAAATAAACCATAAGTTCATTTTAGGAGCAAAATAAAAAGTATGAGGTCTTTTTTATACTTTAAAAGAAAGTATGGGGTAGAGAAGACAAGAAGATAAAAAGAGAGTTTTCTCAAATTCAAGGTTTACAAAGGTTTGGGCTCAATTTAATGGAAACAATTGACGTAAGTGGCCCACATGAAACAGAAAGTTACATTATTCGACCCACAAAAGTGAAATAAAGCACGTGTGGTCCAATCTTTTCTGTTTATAAACGGAAAATTTATTCTTCAGCGAGAAGAAGACGTAAAATTTCATTTCTTTCCTTGTCTCAATTAAAAATCTTTGGCTTTGAGGGCTAAAAGGTGACGTCATCTTCACCTTCCCTGAAAATTTCCACACCTTTTTCCCGTTTTGCCCCTT